CTAATCCATGATGGCATCCTTAATAAATTTAGCTTTTATTGAGAGTCTGGCCTCAAATAAAACAGGAGTCCTGCTGTCAGGGTTCTCATTGTCCAGTTAGGAGGAAACAAATTGTAGTAGTGGGCATGAACAAAACAAAGTAGTACAGAAATAGAAGAGACAGCCATCACTGGAGGTTGGCACTCCTGCAGTTTAGGAAAGAGTAACTGCAGAGAGAAACAGCGGCATGTCGTACCAGTCTTTCAGTGAAGGCTGTGTTAAATGTGCACTCGCAATCCTTGCCTTTTCTATTCGTTCATCTGTAAAACATTATTCTCTGTGAGTCTACTGAGTGTGGTCTTCAAGGGCAAAGGAAGCTCTCCTTGACCAGGCTTGGCAACGGGCAGCTTTGGGCAGGTGGTTTGAAGATCAGCAAGAGCAGAGGAGGAGGACACCCAGCCAGCCAGGTCAGATGAATCAGCTTGGGTGTCAGCTGGCCACCCTCCGTCAGCCAAATGGCCCTCAAAACCCCCCTGGTGCACTGTCCTTAGGACCTGTTTCCCCTCCTCACCTCTAACTGGGCACTGTTTTCCAAGCTCCTGGTGAGTGGGGTTTTTTGGAGGCTCCTTTACCACATGAACTGTTCTGTTCTCAGAACAGAATCCACTTTGTGTGGTTCTGTGCCTCATTCAGCGTGAGCACTCTTACAAATTTTAGCTCTTCTGGAAAAGAAATTATTTGTTTTCTCTTGGTCTCAACTTCCCTTTTGCCTGACTCTCTTCTCCATCTAGATTTGGACTTTGGACTCCTCTTTCTGGAGCCATCACAAACTAAAACAGAAGAAAAGATGTGAAAGAGGAGCATAGAGCATAGAGCATTTTAAATGGCCATGGATTGGGAGAGAGACGGACCTCAGATCAATGTGAAAATGAACTGGGCAAGGGAAATGAAAGAAGCACAGATGTTGGACTTGAGAATCTTTTGGTCTCATCAGGGCGATTAATTCCATACCTACATAACTAGGGCACAAAAGAGATGATGTTAAGTGGCAGAAGAGGTTCAGGTAAAACATTAGGTGAATTTAGAGGAAGGAAAGATACCTCCTAGCTAAGGAGAGGAGAGTGACTGATGCATTAAGTGGCATTTGTGACCTGGCTTTGTGTGATGGATTCTACTTCATTGGAGCCTCTTGGTTCTGAGCTGTGGGTTGTAAGTAGACAGGTATTTTTGTTTTTATTCACAGCTTACAGGTTAAGTGGAACATCTGGCTCCTATACTGCTTTGGCCATATTTTCTTATATTTCCAAGTTGAAGTATCAGTTACATAGCTGTATTCTCCCCCACTTTAGTATTCATTTTGTAAAGACTAAACAAATTCTCACCTTCTGTTCTCAACACTGCTGAGATATATAAAAGTGGGTGTATTTATTTGTTTCTCTAAGAGACATTTCCCTTCCCCCTAGAGACGTGTACATAATTGAATTACCAGTATCAGCTACCCTCATGCTGGAGACAGCCTCCTCCCATCCAGTGATGGCTGTCTGCGCGGTACTGGAGGGGCTGCCTGTGGGTTTGTCCCACAGTCTGAAGTGCTGAGTTACACGGACTGACAGAAAGCTCCAGTGGCATGCCACTGCCTTCCCAGGGCCTCTTCAGGGGTCCTCACAGCTTACAGAACCAGACACACTAAGTAATTGGGACATTAATAGTTTTCCATGTATAATGACTATTTGTCATTTTTTAAAAGGAAGTTTAACAGAACCTTAAATAAATAATATATGGTTCTATTTATATGAAGTGCCTACAGTAGTCAGATTCATAGAGGTGGAAGTACATGATGGTTGCCAAGGGCTGGGGGAAGAGCTCATGGGAAGCTGTTCAGTGGGTACAGATTTTCTTTCTTACAAAATGAAAAGAATTGTGGAGATTGGTTGTACAATAATTTTTTAAAAAAAATTAAGGTTTCTATAGATCAAGTAATGATTTTTAAAAATATTTTATTTATTTATTTATTTGAGAGGTAGAGTTACAGACAGAAAGGGAAAGACACAGAGAGAGAGAGAGAGAGAGAGGTCCTTCATCTGCTGGTTCACTTCCCAAATGGCCAAGCAGCCAGAGCTGGGCTGAACCAAAGCCAGGAGCCAGGAGCCAGGTCTCCCACCCTGCTTGGGTGCAAGGACCCAAGCACTTGGGCATTCTCTCCCTGTTTTCCCAGGCCAGAGCAGAGAGCTGGATTGGAAGTGAAGCAGCTGGGATACCAGCGCCCACATGGCATGCTGGCTCCTCAGGCAGAGGCTTAGCCTATTACACCACAGTGCCAGGCCCTCAACTAATGATTTTTAAAGGAACAGTTCATCTGTTCAGAATTTTTTTCTGTCTCTGAAATTTACTGTGTAAAATGCTGAAACTGTGTATGTTTTCAAGATTGCTTCTTGAATATGCATATATTTTTAAGATCTATTTACTTATTTGAAAGGCAGAGTGACAGAGAAAGGAGAGAAAAATCTTTGGTCTGCCTAAAATAGCCAGGGCTAGGAGAGGCCAAAGCCAGGAGCCTTGAACTCTATCCAGGTCTCCTACATGGGTGGCAGGAACCCAAGTTCTTAGGTCATCATCTGCTGGCTCCCAGATATATTGGCAGCTAAACCAGAAGCTTGGAGTAGCTGGGATGTGAACCAGGCAGTCCAATATGGAATGTAGGCATCTCAACCCACAGTTTCACCTGCTGCACCACAACGCCCATCTTGAGCATGTTTGTTTTGTATAATAACTTCTTTTTTTAAGATTTATTTATTTATTTGAAAGTCAGAGTTACACAGAGAGAGGAGAGGCAGAGAGAGAGAGGTCTTCCATCTGATGGTTCACTCCCCAACTGGCCGCAATGGCCAGAGCTTCTTCTGGGTCTCCCACAAGGGTGTAGGGGCCCAAGCACTTGGGCCATCTTCTACTGCTTTCCCAGGCCATAGCAGAGAGCTGGATCGGAATTGGAGCAGCCACTTTCAGGCCAGCGTTAACCCACTGTGCCACAGTGCTGGCCCCTTATAATAACTTCTTGATTATTCAAAATTCACTGAGAGGAGCTAATGATAAATAAATTTATCTTCATGTGCTAGTTCACTCCCAGTACCCACAATAGCTGGGACTGGGCCAAGCCAAATCGGGAGTTAAGAACTCAGTCTAAGTTTCCCATGTGGATCCCAGGGATCCAGCTACTTAAAACTTCACCTGCTGCTTCCCAGTATGTACATTAGCAAGAAGGTGGAATCAAGAGACAGGAAATCAGAGGGCAGGCTCTCTCTCTCTCTCAAGAACTAACCAGGATCCTGTGAGAAACACCTTAATCCCTTTCAAGGCCATGTCCTCAGTTGATCCAAGGACCTCCCTCTAGGGCCTGGCTCTTAAAAAGTTTCATGCCACCTCCCAGTGCCACCACCCAGGGAGCTAGTCCCCAGCTTTTGCTGGCATGGATACAGTGTGTTAACATCTCTGCTTACCGCAACATTGTCAGTACTGAATGTTCTTTTCCTATCCTGTTGTTAATTCCATTAGCTGGAAGAATGCTGTCCCTTTGTTTTAATTTACACTTAAATTATGAGTGGCATAGTGGATAAGCTACCACTGGCAGTGCTGGCACCCCATATGGGTGCTGGTTTGAGTCCCAGCTGCTCCACTGTCTATCTAGCTCTCTGCTATGGACCAGGAAAGCAGTAGAAGATGACCCAAGCCCTTGGGCCCATGTGTCAACCTGGGAGGCCTGGAAGAAGCTCCCGGCTCCTGGCTTCAGAACAGCTCAGTTTCGGCCATTGCAGCCACTTGGGGAGTGAGCCAGCAGTTAGAAGGCCTCTGCCTCTCTCTGCCTCTGCCTCTGCTTCTGCTTCTGCTTCTCTGTAACTCTGGCTTTCAAAAATAAATATATCTTTTAAAAAAAATTATGATTGAGGTTGAATGTTCCAAAATCATATCTATTTTCTCTATCAAGTTTTCCCACCCAAATTTGTAATAATCCCAGGGTAGTGGTGATTTAAAACAAAAATCCAGGAAAGCGCAATGTAGACACTCCACTGAGCAATGTGATCCTTCTCCATCTGCCCCCAGAAAGTAAGGAAACTTCCAGTTACCTGTGACATTTACTATGTCATAATTCAATGTGGAAATTGCCTAATGTGTTTTAGAATCTTAAGGCACTTATTATTACCAGATGTCTCATTTGTATATGAAATACGTATTTTTAGGATTCGACAGAAACAAAAAATAATCATTAAGAAAACAAGTACTGCATTCATGCAGTGGTCTGTCAGGTGCTTATTACATGGTTTCCATGTGCCAGGCAAGGTGCTGGGTACTTGATTTTAGAAGTAAATCGGATACACACAGTTCTCTCATCTCAAGCGGTTTAGTTTTATGCAGAAGGGAAGCAGCTGTGTCGGTGAGAAAACTTTGGCTGACGATAAGAGCCTGGTGAACCCAAAGTGGCTGAAACAATGAGGAAATGTATTAGCTGCCATGGAAGGTGGCTCAGGATGGGGCTGGGCTCCAGGCTTACTCCATCCAGTGGCCCATCAGAGAACCAGTTCTTTCCAGCTCTAGCTTTGCTGTCACTCACAGTGGCAGCTGCACCCTACAGCGGGCTCCCTCATCGTCACGGGGTGGCCGCCGGTGGCACGTTAGTTTGGGAGGTACGGGGATCTGATGTGGCCCTCTTCTAAGACCCAGGAAGAGCTGCTCCACATGCCTCAGACAAACCTCTCATGGTGTCTCAGTGGCCAGAACTGACAAAATCCATTCCCAGTGTACCTATTCTGACAAAATCACTGCCAAAACTGACCCCAGGCAGTCGGGCTGACACCTAGATCAGAGACACGTGTCCCTCAAAGCGTGGTCCAGGGATAGACACCTGGAAACAGAACCAGGCAGACAGGCGGCCCCTACAGGAAAGACAGCTGCAGCGGGACAGTCTACGCAGTCGGGGCCACGTGAGTGAAGCGTGACATCTTTGCTGTTTCCTTTCTAATGTCCCTTAGGATCAGAGTGGCCCAGAACCTGTTAGTGGGGAGGAAGATGGCGGCCTTGAAGTTGGTGTTAAACCATTGCCTGCAAGTGAAAACCCAAAGCTGGTGAGAATTTTTCATCTTGCTTTCTTTTCAGGAATGGATTATTTCTGTTTTGTACCACCTGAGAAAGGACTGGTGCTGCAACTCCAGAACAGGAGAAGCGGCTCCATTCCAGGGATGCCCCAAGCACTCGGCCCCGCCTCATCCCTGCCTGCATTGTGCTGTCTGGCACTAACGAAGCAGTCTCTCCTTTAAGTCAGGTTTCATGTTGGGTTCTTCTAAGCCCAGAGCTGTGCGTTAGCCCTAGAGGCACAGGAAGAGATGTTGAGTTAACTGGTTGACTCACAGTACACCCTGCTTCTGTTCACCCAGGAGCTGGGGCCTTTGGAAAGGAGCTGTTTTACCTCCTTCCATGGCCTGGTGTTTGATGTTTTGTTATATACTACTTATGGAGCATTTGCCATGTGCCACACACTGTGCTGTGTTCCCCCTGTGTTTCCTAATCGTGGTGGTGTAGGAGCTGATACCATTGCTTCACAAGTGAGCAAACAGAGACTTAGAGAAGTTAGTGTTTTGCCAAAGGTCCCCGGCTTGTGTTGGGATAGACCGGGAGATTGCCCCAACTCTCTGTGACTCATGATACGCTTTCCACCCTGCAGCCTTGTGCTCCCTAGGTTAGGCTACAAATTCCAGAAAGAAAAAGGAACTTTGATTTTCTTCCATGTTTCAAAATGTCTTAGAAATCTCAAAGAATTACTCACTCGGGAGTGTCACCTTGATTTGTTGGCAGCCAGAGTTGTTCATTTTACTTCAGGGAGTTTGAGAAATCGCCCATTTATCTCCTTTCAGCTTTTAGAAAATAATACATTGGGACTGGCATAGATTCTGTGCCCCAGAAAGTGGACTGACTGATTCTTTGGGGCTGCAAGGAGGAATGGAGGTTGTAGTGGGCCACCCTTGGGCAAACGCTTTGCAGCACTGAGGAGAGTGGGCGTGATCACTGTTATTCTACAGCAAGGTGTTCAAAGTCGCACCACTCCCCTTTTTGAAAGTAGGCTGCGTAGCAACACCAACACATTTCAGACTGGGAGCCCCTTCACTTTAAAACACTGCTAACTTGGTTTTTCTTTTGTTTTGTTTTGGGGACTGTATCTCCATAGGTAGGTTAGGGGAAAGTCTCTTGAAGAAACAGCATTTTGTAAGGAGGAGCCCCCAGTTTCACCCACAGAGGAAGCAGCAAATAAAAAGTGAGAGCTCTCGCTTGCTTGCTGGAAGAGTCTGCTAGTTCCAAAGAGGTTCCCTTGCAGGTCACAGGAAAAAGCCATCCATCGTGCACCCCACCCTGGAGTGAGCTGGGTTCCCAGCAGCACGGCAATGGAGCTCCGCCTCACCCAGAATAGAAGGCTTTCCTGAGTCCACTGCCGGCATCTGTCTGTCTCCCTTCTGTCTCCTCATGCTACCTTTCTCTCCTTTGGCTATCTGAACGTTTCTCTGTCACTCTTTCAGTAGACTCCATGCCTGGTATAGCTGAGGTACAAAATGTAGCCTACATTTGGGCAACTTCTCTGGCATAAATAGAAATGGCCCACTATAAAGAATTTCTAAGAGTTTGGTCTCCGGCAAGTCGCTTAACCAAGCCACGCCCCCTGCCCTCAGTTTCCTCCTTTGAAGAGTGGCAATAATGAGAACATCGTGGGGAAGCAAGTGAGCTAGAAACTGTAAATCACATAGAAGAGAATAAGGAGGCTGGCACTGCGGCTCAATAGGCTAATCCTCCACCTGCGGCGCCTGCACACCGGGTTCTAGTCCCGGTCGGGGTGTCGGATTCTGTCCCAGTTGCCCCTTTTCAGTTCAGCTCTCTGCTGTGGCCCGGGAAGGCAATGGAGGATGGCCCAAGTGCTTGGGCCTTGCACCCCGTGGGAGACCAGGAGAAGCACCTGGCTCCTGCCATCAGATCAGTGTGGTGCGCCAGCCGCGGTGCGCCGGCCGTGGCAGCCATTGGAGGGGGAACCAACAGCAAAGGAAGACCTTTCTCTCTGTCTCTCTCTCTCACTGTCCACTCTGCCTGTCAAATAATAATAATAATAATAATAAAAGAAGAGAATAAGGCAAATGGTTGGCACTTAGTGGGTCCATTTCTTCACTCCGGGAGTATTTGTCCTAGTGCCACTGTGTCCCAGACATTGAATATACAGCATCGAACAGTGTGTTCGAAAACACTTGCCTCAGGGAGGATCATTCCAGAGTGGGAGGGGGAAGGGAGATCATTTATAAATTATAAAATCCTAGATTGAATCATCTGAAGCTGACATTTTTGTAGGTTAAAAACTTCATGTGGTTCAACCTATGTCATCTTGCTATAGAGCATTTGTGCCTGTTCCTTGTCTTAGTCATTCATCATTTGATTGCTTCTGTTCTAAGGCCAGTGCAGACCCCCTGCGCCAGTGCACCATCTTGGGATTATTGCTGGGTGTTCCTGGTCAGAGAGCAACATGTGACCTGTACAGACTTCTGACTGTTTTTACTCTTTGTTTATGGCAGGACGGTTGGGAAAAGTAAGCTCCAATCCTCTGAAACTGTCTTGCTTTCTTCCTTTTGGGGGCAAATTTCTCATCAAACACTGTGCCAGACCCTGTGGGACTCACCAAGGAGAGAACACACACCTGGCCCCTAAGAAGCTCCCCCTCTAGCTTTAGCCAGGCTAACGACCCTTGTGTCTGGAAAACATACCAGAGACTTACATTAGAGAGAGGTGCAAGAGAGTGTTAAAGGAGTTCCAAGGAGGGGAAATCATCTCATCCAGAGACGAGGGAAGGCTTCCCAGGACCTCCCATAATGTGAATCTTTGAGGATGAGAAGGCAGTTGACCTCTGAAGGTGGCACAAATTGGTCGGCCTTGGTGCCTGTCTCAGTAGCCCCCAGCTTCAGAAGGTGTTCCACGTCTCTGAAGTACTTTCAAAGGGGAAATAACTTGTTTGTAGATCAGACGATGGTTTGTGAAATGTTGATTCCAATGGTGAGAGACCAGAGGCCAGGAAGTGTCTGGAATCTATTTCAGAAGTCTAGGTGAGAGCCTGTTAAGACTATTTTGTAAGCCTTTTGAGAAGAACTTTTTGAAAAGTTGTACAGAGCTTTGCAATTTTCATCTTCATTAGCTTAATTTTAACATAGTTGAAGTGCAAACACAAGGACCAGACAATTTGGACTCCAATCCTGATTCTGCCATTTTTGTGTAAAATTTAGTCTTCATATCTACTTTTTGTATTCAGAATTTCTTTTAATCCTTTTTAGTATGTCTGGACAAAACAGTGTTTACATTTACAGTTTAAACAGCACACTGGTTTTTTTAAAAAAATTTTATTCATATTGTAAGGCCGCCAACAAAACACACGAAACACCAGAGTAAGGGAAAGAGTTTATTGGGGGAAACCCAACAGACTGGAGGAAAGGGGCAAAGAAGGAAAAAAGGGAGAAGGAGAGTGGAAGAGAGAGAGACAGAGACAGAGGTCAGGAGACGGAGAGAAAGAGAGCCATGTGTTCAGGAACAGGTCCTTTTAAATCTTTGCTGAGGGGCGGGTAGGGAAGTAGGAGCAGCGAATCCCATTAGGATGGGGGTGTGGCTGACACTGGTGGTTGGGCCATGTGGCTACCTGGCTTCCAGAAATGGCAGCAGGGCTAGAGCCTAGGATGGTGTCAGGACTGCGCCATTTTACCAACACGTATAAAGAGAACAGATTTCATGTATTTCATATATACAATTTTAAGTCCATAATGGTATTTCCATCCTTCCTATATTTCTTTTTTCTTTTAATTTTTTTAAAGACTTATTTATTTATTTGAAAGAATTACAGAGACAGAGAAAGACATCTTCCATCTACTGGTTCACTCCCCAAATGGCTACAATGGCCAAGGCTGGGCCGGGCTGAAACCAGGAGCCTGAAGCTTCTTCTGGGTCTCCCACATAAGTGCAGCACTTGGGCCATCTTCCTCTGCTTTCCCAGGCACCTTAGCAGGGAGCTGGATTGGAAGAGGAGCAGCCGGAACATGAATCAGAGCCCATATGGGATGCCAGTGCCGCAGGCAGTGACTTAAACCACTATGCCACAGCGACGACCCCTCCTTTTAATTTTTACAATAACATACTTTCAGTTTACTTTATAGTCACAGGCTTAAGCAAAAGAATCTTAGGGAAATGATTTAACCTCTCCGTGACTCAGTTTTTTTACAACCAAAATGGGGGAAAGAAACAAAAGGTTGTTGCAAGACTTCACATAGTTACTTTAGAACCAAACCAAGTACACCATAATCACAATTTAAAAGTAAGTTGTTATTAATGGTGATGATGATTTGTAATTCTGGTTAAAGCCTTGAGATTACATATAATAGGAAGAGCTTTTGTTTTTTCTTCAAAGTTCTTTGTTCGTTTTTACTTAAAAAGCAGACAGATCTTCCATCTGCTGGTTCACTCCCTGAATGCCCACATGGGCCAGAACAGGCTCAGACCAAAGCCAGGAACCTGGAACTCCATCCTTCCTCCCATGTGAGTGGCAGGGACCCAGTACCTGAGCCATCATATGCTGCCTCCCAGGGTGTACATTAATTAGTAGGAAGCTGTACAGGAAGTGGAGGCAGGACACAATCCCAGGCACTCTGAAATGGGATTGAGTAGGGGAGTGGAGTTGGGGGCGGCACTGTGGCACAATAGGTTAAGCTTCCATCTGCAGTGCTGACAGCCCGTATGTGTACTGGTCTGGCACAAGCAGCATCTTTTAACTATTTATATGCCACAAATCTCTATGTTAGAGTTCAGGATTTAGAAAAAGGGAGATGAAAATCACAAGTTCAGGGCTGGTGCTGTGGCACCCACTACACCACAACTCCGGCCCCAGCAGTAAAACATTAAGTTGCCTAAGATCACCCAATGAAGCCTAGATCCAGATTGGAGACTGCGCTCCAAAGCACTGTGTAGTACAAAGAACAAACCGATATCAAAGAATAGCAAGACTCAACATCAGTAACCGTCAGGGAAATGCAAACAAAACCACCGTGAGATAGCACCTCACCCCTGTTGCCGTAGCTATTATCAAAAAGACAGAAAGTCACCACTGCTGGCCAAGGTGTGGAGAAAAGGGAACTCTTACACATTGTAGGTGGGGATGTAAATTGATTCAGCACTGCAGAGAACAGTATGGAGATGTCTTTTAAAAGTAGAAATAGACTTGCCATATGATCCAGCCCTACAATGTATCTGTGCAAAAAACAGGAAATCACCCTATCAGCGAGATCTCTGCTCGTCATGTTTATTGCAGCACTGTTCACGATAACCAAGATACAGAAACAACCAAGGTGTGATCGTCACATGAAAGGATGAAGAAAATGTGATACAACACATTTTGTTTTTTCTTCAAAGTTCTTTATTTGTTTGTTTTTATCTGAAAAGCAGAGAGACAGATTTTCCATCTGCTGGTTCACTCCCTGAATACCCACAAGAGCCAGAATAGGGTCAGGCCAAAGCCAGGAACCTGGAACTCCATCCTAACGGCCCATGTGGATGTATATATATACACGCACACAATGGATACTATTCAGCCATTTTTTAAAAAGAATGAAATCCTGTCATTGGCAGCGAAATGATGGAACTAGAGGACATCATGTTAAGTGAAATAAGCTAGACACAGAAAGACAAATACCGCATATTCTCCCTTATATCTGGAAACTTAAAAAAAAAATCAATCTGATCATTGAATGTTCATTAATGGAGGCTGGGAAGAATAGGAGTTTGGATTTTTAAAAAAATTAGTGTAAATTGGTTGTCACAGATTGTAACAAAATACAAATAATATAAAACGTTAATAATAAGGGAAACTAGGTGTGGAGTATATAGGAGCTCTTTGTACTGCTTCGCAATTTTTGTTTTGTAAATGTAAAACTATTTTGAAATATAAAGTTAAAAGAAAAATAACAAAATTACACTGAGATATGAATGTATGATTTTCTTTCTTTCTTTTAAGATTTTATTTATTTGAGAGGTAGAGTTACAGACAGAGAGAAGGAAAGACAGAGATAAAGGTCTTCCATCTGCTGGTTCACTCCCCAGATAGCTATAACAGCCAGAGCTGAGCTAATTTGAAGTCAGGAGCTTCTTCCAGGTCTCCCACACAAGTACAGGAGCCCAAGCACTTTCCCAGGCCATAAGTAGAGTTGGACTGGAAGAGGAGCAGCTGGGGTGTGAACTACCCATACAGATTCTGGCACCACAGAGGCTTAGCCCACTGTGCCACAGCACCAGTCCTGAACTTGTGATTTTCATCTCCCTTTTTCTAAATCTTGAACTCTTAACATAGAGATTTGTGGCATATAAATAGTTAAAAGATGCTGAAACATTCCTCTTATAGCTTTTTTATTGATAAATAAAGTACAGATTGAGCTTCAAACGTAAAGTGAAAGAAACTAAAATTTTTCAAGGAGCCAGCCTGTGCCAGGTGTCTCCATACCAGCCGTCTTAGTTCACCCAGTGATGCCCATGTCATTGGCCCTATTTTCCTGGTAAGGAAATGGCAAGTCCACTCCCAATTCCCCATGGCTGTGACTCAAACCCAGTTCCCTTTGTCTCTAAAGTCTATCTTCTCTACACTGTAGTTCGCATAGACAGCCCTTCTTAAAATAGAGATTTCATTGTGAGACCTGTTGGTTCAAAAAATAAATACTAATCGAGCATCTCTTTGCTGTTAAACCCAGTGTTGTGTAGGAGATCTGGCAATGGGCAGAACTGTCAGAGCTTCTCAGGTGGCTCGAGGTGTTCCAGGACAAGTGCTCTCATCAGTTTGCTGTCGTTAGAAGCCCAGTGGGCACGTGAGAAGGAATGGAAGAGCCAGTACTGCCTTCTCGCCAGTAGCTATCCTGGGCCCTTCCCACAGCCTTTGGATCACTGACCCTGTCAGATTCCATCATTTTCTGCTTGGCTGTCAAAGTCAGTTGACCTTTTGTTTTGTTCTTATCCACTTATTTCTCTATGCTGTTGCACTTACTAATAGTTAAATGATTTAAAAGTAACCAGCTTACAATAAAATAATAAAAGACAAATAACCCAAGTAACTAATGGGCAAGGATCTGAATCCGCATTTCTCTGAAGATGTACAAATGGCCAATAAGCACATAAGATAGCGCTCGGCGTGTTTCTTTATCACTAGAGAAATGCACATCAGAACCACAGTGCAGTGCCACTCCACGCCAGTAGGATGGTCATAGTCAAAAAGACAGCTAATAAGCAGTGCTGACAGGCTGGAGAACACGGGGCTCTCATGCATTGCTGTTTGAATGGAAAGCGTGCAGTTTTTTACAATATTAACATAATCACCATGTGATCCACTTTCCTGAATGTATACTCGAGAAATGAAAACATACATCTACACAAAACTTACATGCTGATGCTCATGGCAGCATTATTCATGATTGCCCAAAAAATGAATCTACCCAAGTGTCTATAAACTGATGAATGGATTAATCAAATGCTGGATCAATCAAATGCTGACAATGAGATATTATTTTGTAATAA